CCTTGCAGATCCTTGCATCTTGCATCCTGTGCCACTCTGTCCTGGCTCTTTCCTTATAAACAGTTGCGCTTGCTCTTAGGCCAATTCTTGAAATTAACATGACCGAATCGGATTGATTATGATTGCTGAAAAGGTTTGGGGAGTAAATTTGGAATAGATCGAGTCGTCTTTGTGTATATTTCAATGTTGCAATGCGATCGTCGTGTTTTGATTTATTAATTTTTATTGTTTTCTTTATTTGCCAATTTTTCAAAACTTAAAACATTTTACACAAATTAATTTTAAAAATTTTTAATACGTACGCAGTCTGTTTAAAAGTTAAGTTAGATTATACACTCCTACGCCTACATATACATTATATACTCATATATATATATATTTATAGAGAAAGATATATATATATATATTTATTGTATATATTTCTTATATACACATATATATTTATGTATATATAGATTTAGTAATTATGATTAAATCTTGCCTTTGCATCATCACAATTCATGTAAAGTTTTTCATTTTTTTCGCTCAGTTTCCATGCGCAGTTTTGCAAATTTTGTTGTCCACCTTGCTTTCACTTATGTTTTATTTGGATTTCTTTTTAAATGTGTATGTACTTTTTTTTGTTTCTTTGTTATATTTTTGTTATTGTTGTTCAAAGTTGATAATTTACACACGTATACAGTTATGGGTTGTTGCTGTTGCTGTTAGTGGGCCAAAGATTAATTTTGCTTGCGCGTCCTCTTCACAAATACACAAAAATGTAAAACCAATTAAAAAGCTAAACAAACTAGTACGTTATGTATTTAACATTAGAGTGTTATGTGTTAGGTCGTAAAAATATTTTGCTAAAAATTAATATTCATATAGTTTAATATATATATATAACATACTATTGAAAACTTAAGCGCACAAACAAAACTAAATATTCAAATTAAAAACTAATTTTGCCAAACGTTTTTGCTTTCCCGAAAAAAATTAAAACAAAAATTACAAATTACAATATTTAACACAATTAGGGATTTTTGGGTGGGGGATGGGTTCAAGGGTTAAGGGGTGTGGGACAATTTCAGGCTTCCAAAGAAATGGTTTCCAAATAACGGCACATAATTTTGGTGATAATTTCATTAATCATAATTTTCATCAAGTTCAACGAAATTGGAAAACTTTAACGGAGTGTGTAACAATTTGCCAATTGGTTTACAGATTTAGTTTAGTTTTTAGTTTACAATAGAAAAACACATTAACAATAAAAACTTACAAATTAAATTACAAATTTAAAACAATATAAAATCAGTACATTTATCGAATTAAACAAATCTTTAAAATTAGTTATATTTATATATTTGCAATTTGAAGTGGGTTCAAGGGTTCAAAGTCACCAAATATGTGGAAATTTCAAAGGCGAAAAATCGAAAATTTTGCATAATAAAAATACGCGGCGTTGAAGAATTTTTTGTTAATAACATTCTTAAAAAAAATTATCTCATTTGTTGTGTTTGTGTGTGTTTAAAGAGAAACAAAAACGTAATAAAAGTTTTAAATGATTTCTCCCCTTTCTTTTTCGAGGGCAACACTCTGCAGCTCTCAATCCGGAAAAGATAGATCGTTTAAGAAGAATTCCTAAGGAAACTTATCAAAAATTATTTTAAAAAAGTGGTTAAATATTTAAGTGATTTTTTGTTTTGCTTGTTATTGTAGTTAGAAAATGGCGCACACTTCTCTTTCTTCTCCTACAAAGACAGTTTACTTTACTTTCTTTAATCATTATGTGTGTATATGTATTGGTGTATGTGGCTGAGTGTGTGTGTGTGTGTGTGTGAGTGTTACTAAATGTAATCTTAACTATGGTCATTTAGAATTTGTTGTATATGTTCCTCTTATTGTTTGTGGCTAATATTATGTATTTAAAGTTCTTTGCTGGTTTGCAAATTTTGCGCAAGTTTTCATCGTTTATTTTTTTTTTTTTTGTTTTTTTTACTTTAGGCAACTGCTTGGTGTGTGTGTGTGTCTGTGTGTACTTTTAATTTAAAAAAACTTGTGTTTTTAGGCTTATGCTGAACAATGTTCATAGATACGTTTTAAAACACACGCGCCCTTGTCTCTCATCAACGGCCAACAGTTTTGTATTTGCTTTATACTTGAGTTCAAAATTGGAAGTATTCTTTCGTTAGTTTAAAACTAATTTATATATTTTTTTTCTTTTTTTATATATGTATATATTAATTAACTTGTTGCTTTACTTGAGATCTAGCAATAGCGGAAACGTAGACATAAAGGACAGATAAATTTCAACAAAAAAGGATTCTCAGTTTTGAATTTTGCAAAGTAGTCTAAAACAAATGAAAGGCAAGGCAAGTTCTTGTGTAATTCATTTTCCTATATAAAAGTATTTTGACACGTGTGTCTGTGTGTGTGTGTGCTGTTTGTTTGTTGTTGTTGGTGTTTATAGGCATGGAGTTACAGTTAGGATCGCTATATATGTATGTAGTTGTGGTGTTTGCTCTAGGGCTTTAGTTACTTCGTTCATATCATATCATATGTGCGTAGCAGATCTGCTTAGATGAGTTCGTCAATAAAATTGGGAGAGAGAGTTGAGTCTGAATTGTTAATTAGTTGAGAGAGGCTTTTAAGGAGAATTTCTAGGTTGTATGAATTGTTTAGGTTTGTCTGCTAAAACGCAATCGAGCGTCGGCTAATTGATTTCTCATAACTTTTTATTTATCTTCGTTTATCGTTTTTTGAAATTTAAGCACAATTTGTATGTTTATATGTGTAAATATTAAGTATTCATTATTGTGTTATTAAAATTCATAATATTCATCGTTATTATTAGTTTTAGTTTTAATTTTTACCTTTACTTTTACTTTTAGTTTTAATTTACTGCTTGTGATGTGTGTAGCTGTGTGTTGTGTTTGTCTTTCTAATTCGTTGCATCAATTGGCAGATATTTTTCCGAGATTTGCTTCACCGATTTTTGGCTTCCGGAACCATCTGCATTTGTGTTGTGTGTGTGTGTGTGTGCAATTGTTTAACCCTACATATATACTTTTTCGTCTGCCAGTTAATTGATTTGAAGTTGCCTAGGACTTAGGTTCGTTAAAAAATAGTTTTTGTTTTTCAATTTATGCAGAAAGTCTTTGCCAGTTGCCACTGCCAGTCATTATATAATAATGCTGGGTGCATTTAAATTTGTTGTATGTATGTTTTTTTCTTATCATTCTCATATCAATTCAATCAATCTAATTTATAATTTTTTTACTTTTTGTTTTTGTTTTTTGTCAGTCAATGTTTCTTCATTAAGCTTTGCTTTTCACTTTGAATTCTTGTTGTTGTCTCTCGAAGTTCCTACAATATTAAACATTTTTTAGTTCACATCAATTCATCTGAATCAGAATCTGAATCTGAATCTGAATCTGAGCCTGAACTCTCTCGTATATATGTATGTACTGGTTGTTTCCTATATGTCTTGCTGGCTCCTCATTGCTGCGGTTATATACAATTAAGGGAAATCGCTTGTGCACTATTTGCTTGGGGTTTTTGTTTAGTTTGCTTAAGGCTCTTCATGCTGATTGATCTCCCCATGTACATGATTGATGTAAAAGGTTCTGTATATAGTCGAATCGATTCCAATTTCAATGTATAAAAAGGTGCTACATGCTGCTTAAGATTTAAAATCAATCCGTACTGGGCTTAGACTGCTCTCTCTATATAGTTATAGATAAATATATTTATATATATGCTTTTTAATTTATATATCGGTTTTGTTTTTGTTTTGCTATATACGCTCAATTATTGTTTCGATTTCAAGTTAAAAACGCTATGAGACATAATTTGTGGTTTCTTTTTTGTTGTTGTTTTCATTATACTTTTGTGAACTTTTAAAACGATTCGACTTTCTTTTATCTACGAGTTTATACGAGTTTGCTCTTTTCTGATTTTTAAAATGGTTCTGGGGGAAATCGGTTAAATCTCTTTCACTAAATGAACAAATTTCGTTTAAAATTCTGCTGCAAATATATATATATACTTTAATCGACCGATTTATTGCTGCCTTCCGGTTCTGATACTCATTTTGATTCAACATTTTTGTTGGCTTGTGCTTCAATGGATCAACAGAACCGACATCGACTTGGTTCCGAAATGAAAGCAAAATGATCTCTCAGAATTTTCGCTAGTTGTATACGTAGTTCTTATGGTTTATACAATTTATTTAAAGGGAATTTATTGCTTTTAAGTGTTTGTTACTTGGATCTTCGCCAGTTCCAATTATTATCGGATGCTGCTGGGGCTGTAACTTCCATGTTGTGTGGCTGCTTTTAACTGATATCATATATAGGGTTGCTGTTGCTGTTGCTGTTGTTGATGTTGTATTGTTCTAACTCCATGCCGAAAACGTATCCATGTACCACTGTTCACCATTTGTGCCTAAAGGTTGCTGTGGTAGCGGTAAACTGCCCCAACTGCCGCCATTTCCTATTAAACCGCTCGGGTAACGTCGCTTAACATCTGCCGGATTTTGGTGACCTCCATCGAACTTACGTTTACCGACTACTGCAGTAGTTTTGATAGGATCATTCATAGGTTCGTGATGATCATGGGTTGTTGTTGGATTCGTGTGTGTGTGTGCGTGTGTGTGTGTGGGTGTGGTCGAAGGTGTTTTCGAAAGAAAAAAAAGAGAAAGAGAGTTAAAAATATTGTTAATACAAAAACGGTTCAAGGTGGTCACTATTATTTTTTGATTTTGTAGTTGATAAAGTTCAAGTTTTAGCTGGGCTATGGTTTTAATGAGGTTTTCTTGATGTTGTATTTCATTTTTTTTTTTTTTTTTTTCATTCTTTTTGTCGCACAATTTGATGCATTTTTCCAGTCTTTTTGTTTTTCTTTGCCTTGCAAATAATAGCTGTAGTAGGGGAGATTTGGTTTCGGTGGCAGTTCAAAAAAGGTTAAACACAAACGGGTTTATATTCATTGCTCATTTAATAGTTCCCATTTTTATTAAAACACATCAAAAATCATGAATTGGTGTTAATTCGACATAACGTTAGGGACCTTTGATTGGGGCATGATACATTTAACGTGGATCTTACACAAAAATGAAATAGATGTGGGGGTTGGTTTTAGGTGTGTTATCATGTGTTGTGTGTGCTGGTGTGAATTACAATTTTCCGAATTGGTTTTCTCAGTGTTTGTGTGTGTGTGTGTGTGTGTGTGTGTGTGTGTGCGGTGTGTGAAACATTGTAAATGAAATTTCATTCTAACATGGGGACATGGACAATCGATCGGTCCTTTCATCGATCGACTAATGCTTCTTGAAAGTGTCTTGAGTGTGTGCTTGATTCTTCTTCACTTGTCCGTGGGGATAATTTGGAATTTTGCAATGTTGCTCCTCCTCTTGTATTGTGTTCATCTTGATCTGAACTGATCTGATTCTGATTCTGATTCCTATCTTGAATTGTTGCAGATGTGTGTTTGGTCCTAGTTGCTTGATTCTTGAAAACGATAACCAATTACTCGCCTGGTAGTATCGTTTTCAATTGAATAAATTTTGCAAGTGTGTTAAGTGTCTTTGGAATTGAAATCTTGATGGATTGGTTGCTTGAAACATTATTTTGCAACGAGATTTCGATTTCGATTCAGGTATTTAAGGGGACATCCGCTTTGTTTTTTTTTTTTTTTCGGACCGAGATGACTTGTGTTTGGAGCTACGCTTTTTGGAATGCTTGTGTGAGTGCTTGTGTTTGCTACTGGAGGAACTATCTTTTTTGGGCTTCTTGACAAGCGGGCGACATTCGCCGCTGGTCGAGGAGCTGGACGAGGTGCTACGCTTAGTTGCCCTCCATGTACGTCTTGCGAGCGGCTCCAGCTAGAAACAGATTTAGTTTTTGGTTGTTTGTTTTTCTTTTTTCTTTTATGGCATTGCATTTGGCTGATGTCAATCATACGTTTACGATGTGTGTCGGAAACAAAGCGCATGTATGTGTGTATGTGTGTGTGGCTGTGGGTGTGTGTCTTTGTGAAGCATTCTAAAGATAAATCAAACGATCTGTATCTACAAATACAGCCACAAAGTGTAAAGCGTTTAAGGGAACTGGAAGCAGGTGTAGTATGAGGTGTAGGCGTGTGTGGGATTATTTGTTGGGGAGCTTGCCACGTGACAGGAATCCGGATGGTGGGGGATTTGTTCTCCGCTACACAGAAAGCTCCATTGATAACAAATTATAAGAAAGTCTGTGGTGTGTGTGTGTGTGTGTGTCGAATCGATTAGTATCTGTTTTTAGGGTATGGTACAAATCAAAGAAAACTATTTTAGTTGATTGCAACTCGGGGCACCCTGTGGGGGAATTTATGATATTTATGGCAATGATTATAGGATGATTATTATTATTAAACATATAGATTCATACCACATTTGGTTGGTATTTGCTACTAATACTATTATTATTTGATTTTTATTCACTTCCTTTGGCTTTGGGTTTGTTTTGCTAAATCAAATCAGGGTTAGCAAAGCATGGTGGGCAATTAATTATTAACAAGACTCTCGACTCGATATACAGGAATGCACATAAAATATTACATATGTTTGTGTATGCATATGGTTGTTAATTTAAAGGGCTAGTGTATAAATTATATATTTATTTGTATATAATATTTATAGATTTGTGCAATCGCAATCGAACAATAAGTCAATCTTGACGCGCGTTTCCTCGTGTATACTCGGGAGTATATTTTTATTATTTATGGCCTTGGTAACCAACAATAACCAACACATGAACGCGGGACACAAAAAAAAACAACAAAAATTATATACACGTACGTCAACATTTTGGAGGACTCCTCTCTCTTTTACTTTCATTCTGCTTGCTTTCTATGAAGGGTGGGGCAATTAGAGACAAAAATGGGACACTCTTCCATGTAGATACTTGCTTAACTTTTAATTAGTAAGTGACAAAAATCTTGTGCGAATCTCCTGGATAGGATATTGGTGTGTTTGTGTGTGTTTGTGTATGCAGATGTAGATATACTAATCGATTCATAGACGTTTACACAGCAGACACTGATCATAATACAATTAGACACACATCACATCCGCATCAATATGCAATTAAACAATCAAATAATTTCTTATTATGGCTTTCCATATATTTTTGGGTTCTTGTTTGAAAATTGAAAATTGAGGTGTGTTTATGTGTGTGTGTGTGTGTGTGTGTATTGCTGCTTACATTTAAGACAAGAAAGAATAAGAGATAGGCAATCACGAGAGGGCATGCATCAAAAAAGTGTAGCATACATTTCAGCGCCGACACAAAGAAATGAAATTATACGGAAATCTGTTAAAGTTCCCCAAATGAGACGACATACAGCGCACACACCAATAAATCGTAAGCAGCAAAAGCACAACTACAGTGAACACAATTAAAACAAAAAACAAAAAAGAAAGGAAACTGTATAATTCGTGATTATAGAAATATATAGAAAAAAGAACACAACATCGTGGGTTAAGGTGGGGGGTTCGGTTCGGGAGCTGGGTAGAACTTTTACAACATTTAGAAGTTTACAAATGCGAGATACACGACATTGAGGGGACTTGGGTTCTTGGGATTCACACGATAGCAATGGCTGCTATCTCTCGAGTGGTTCATTTCGGTTCTTGTGCGCGTTATGGATCAGCGAAAGGGAGTGTACTTGTGTGTGTGTGAGTGTGTGTGTGAGGTGTGTGGTGTGGTGTGGGTGGTGGACAGGTGGGTGTATGGGTTCGTTTACATTTTACTTGGCTTTACTTATTAATTTATATGAATTTGACATTTGCAATTTACTTCTTGCTGGGTTGCAGCTGCTGTAGTTGGATTGTCTTTGCAGTTTTCTTTTGACGTAGGTTGTTGGGAGTTTTAGCTTTGAGTTCATTCGGTTTGATAGTTTCGTTTGGTTTGTAGTTGGTTGATTGATTGTTGTGGTTGTGTTTTATCTCTGTAGTTTTTTTGATTGCTGTTATATTTTGTTTTGGTACTTTTTGGTTTGGTTTTTTGTTGAGCTCACCTGGTAAATTTTGTAGCGGCTTGACGTGCCGGGTGCCACGAGCGCTGTGACGCGTTTGTGCCACCCCACGGACCCCCCCGGTTGCTGCCAGCGCCCCCTGACCGGTGGCCCCCCGCTGAGCTACCGCCGCCGCCTGTCCCGCCGCCGCCGCTGCCGCTCCCGCCGCCTGTGGCACTGTTAGGGCCCCCTGACGACTGATGCTGCCACGCTGGCCAACGGCTCTGCCACGCTGCGCTGTGGTTCCATGCCCACGACCAGCCCCCTATTATATGGCCATCATCATCATCATCATCAACACAATCCACACATGGCATCATCATCATAATCGACATCGTCATCATCATCATCACCATATCATGCATGAGCGTGGCGTTTGTGAGGGTATAAGTGTGGTGTTTGTGTATGTGTGTGTGTGTGTGTGTGTGTGTGTGTGTGTGTGCGCGTGTTCGTGTGTAGATGGATTCATATCGTGATTCCAGATTCGGTTCCATTATCCATCATTATCCACATCATTCGTTGTCGGTTGTTGGTTTGATTTTTCGAATTTTTCGAATTTCATTTTCGTTTTTGCGTTTTTGGTTTTTCGAGTTTTGAGATTGGTTCGAATCGTTTTTGCATTTTACAATTTGATAGTTTGCATTATATAAATATTTGAAATTGTGTTTGTATATATATGGATCGCCAAGATAATTGTCAAATTTTGGTCATTTCAAATCAAATGAAAGTAAGCAAGATGAAAATACATTTTGGAGTTGTCGGGGTATTGGATTTGGATTGGAAATTGTTTGGCAGTCGAATCGATGAGAATTTCGAATTTGGTTTGTTCAGAAAGTATGGTGGGGGGAAGTTGGGTGGTCAGAAAAACGGTTTTGGTATTTGGTTTTCGAAAGAGAAAGGTAATCGATGGATTTTTGTATGGTTTTGTTTTTGATTTTGATTTTGATTTTAATTTTTTTGTTTGGTCGTTTTGGTTGGTTGATTTCGATATCGATTTAGGTGAATGGCAGAGATATAGAGAATTCATAATTTTAGTGTGGGCATTTTTTGGTTTTGGTTTTGGTTTTGGTTTTGGTTTTTGACGAACATATATATAATTTTTGAAGATTTTTGTTTGTTTTTGTTTTGTCATATTGTACCGAAAAACAAATGAATTGTTTGTATATAGATAAGTATATAACAAGAACACATAAAAAGAAAGAAAAGAAAAGAAAAAATCGAAATAAACGCGTTAGATTCTTGGTGTAAACTGGTTTTTGATTGATTGTACATACACGATGTAGTGTATGCATATAAGATATATGTATATATTGATATAGAGATGCGTCTGATGTTGACAAATATTCAAAAATATACTGTAATCAAATAGATATTTTGTTTGCTTCTCTGTATCGTGTGAGCTGAGTGAACATTTAACTAGTTAGGTAAAGTCTTGTCTTGCTTCAATCGGATATTATAATAGATACTTATAGCAACGGATCGATCTGGGTCGCTGGACACGTCTATGTATTGGTTTGGTGGTATGTCCAAGCAACAAAAGTTTTTTCCTCTTGCGATTGACACAATATTTAAAAATAACAAAAAAAAACGTACTTTACCAAGTTTGTAAATTTGATTAGAAATTAGAATTTACAATAAGCGTATGCGGTTAATGGTTTATTAAAGCACTGGCACAAACATAGAGCTAAACTTTAAATTTAATTTTAACAATAATAACAATATAGGGCGACGCATCAGGGAATGCAATAATATTTAAAACTAAAAGCGCTTCACTTAATTGCTAAAAAATAATGGAATTAAAATTATATCGAGAGCACGCTGTGTTCAGCTCATAAATGTATAATTAATGGTTAATTAAGCCTGACAGGGCGATGGCAATGGCAATGGCAATGGCAATGGGGTTGTGCAATTAAGGGTGTAAATTATGTAGCGATATTTATTTATGTACAAGCAAAGCATAAGATAAAAGCACAAATTGTTAAATTGTCAATGGCGTGGCGGTGCGGAGGATCTCTCGTTTGTCCCAGAACAAACGCGATACGAAATAAAGCGATACAAGCAGCGAATATATGTAAACTCCTTCGTTTTTTCCCCGTCAATGGGCGTGCACATGTTTGTAGGCGTGTGGGTGTGCTGTATTTTTTTTGGGTGCATATGGGTGAGCGTGTCGGTGTGGTGGAATTTTCAGCATCGGGTAACGTGCAAATTTTGACTTTGTAAACGAAACGAAGAAAATATTGTTTTGGGAAATTAAAGCATCGGTCGTTAAGGCAACAACAAAAATCAAAAACAATTCAACAAAAAGCATTAGAAAAGCATAAACAAATATATACACAAATGAATACTCAAAATATACATAATTCAACGCTACTTTTGGTTAAAGGAAGAGACTGAAGGATCAAACAAATAAAACAAATACAAAATACAGTAACAGAAATGTTGTACAATTCTCGTGTGTTTCTGTGTGCGTGTGATCTGGTTTTTAATTCTGATTCGGTTTGTTGTCCGATTCGGGAGTGGCGAAAATAATCTATTTATAACGCACCATAGCGGCCGACGAATTGGTCGAGTGGCTTGAGGCACTTGCATGTGGTCTCGAGGAGCGCTGCGTGGCTCCGCTTGCTGAGGGCCCAGCGATTCCGGCTCCGATGCCGCCTCCGAGGCTGTTGTGAATGCTGCTGCTGCCGGCATTTGGGGCAGTCGGATAGTCATAGTAATTGTAATCACCTTCGTAGGTGCGGTACAGATCGTCATAATAGAACTCGGTGTTGGCATAGCCAGGACGGTATTCCGGGTACCCAAAATAGTCATAGTCGACCTCTAAATAATGTTGTGCAGGACATGGTGGAGGAGGAAGGCGGATAGGTTGGCTTGGATTAGTGATGTGGTCTGGCCCAGTCTGGATTAGTGCTGAGACCTAGTCCTATGCTAAGCTCCTCGTCGCTCTGCTCTCTCGAGATGCTGCCAATTGTTTCGCTTTTGCCAATGTTGCACGAATTGGGCGCGTACTGTAACGCAATCGGAGGATGTTCACAAGGAGGTGTGGATGTGTCGGGGGATGGGGATCTGTGGCTGTGGCTGTGGCTGGGGCTGGGTCGTTTGGGTCGTTTAAGTAGATGAGACTTGAGGATTACTTACCGGTGATATAACATCAAACAGTATACAGGGTGCTTAACATTCGCTACACAGAGAACACAATTGCAACATTTAATTATCATAAACAACTATGAACAACGTTTAAGGTTTAATGGCTAATGTTCTATGGGGTGGCTGGTTATTTGGTTTTGGCTTTGGATGATTTGGTTATGAGAGTAGGCAATGTTGTAGTTGTAGTTGTTGGCACTTGGCTGCGACAAAGAGAGAGTTCGGGGTAGGATTTGGGACGGAAGGAGAGGGTTGAACAAACAGAAACAAAATCGACAACATCGAAAAAGAAACATAAAACGGACATGCAAATAAACAAAATAACGAATAAATAGAACAAGAGTTTAAAGAGAGAGAGAGCGATATTGACACATAACTTGCAAATGCGAATATTGAAAATGAGATTTACGATTAGTAGAATGAAACAACGAAACGAAAAACAATAAAAACAAGTGAGAAGTGAGGTTATGTTCAGGTTTGAATTGGTTTCCAATGTTCCGTTCTCATCGTTTCAGATGCGAGTTAAGAGTTAGTGGAGGGTTAGTAATATCAATCTAGCTGGATTCTTTTTTCAAAAGAGTACACGACGGGGTCTCTGGGGCTCGAGGGCAGTGCTAAGCGTGACTTTAAAGGGCTCTAGGTAACTGTGTGTGTGTGTTTGTGTGTGTGTGTGTGTGTGTGTGATAGGTGGTAAGAGAGGTCTGGGGGGGAGGGACGAGCGTACATTGTTAGTGGGTAGAGCGCGCCTTAAAGAACTAACTAAAATGATGAGGCGAGACAGTAACAGAAACAATAATCAAGAAGATGAACCAAAATAAGAACAAAACGTTGCGTTCAATGGTGGACATGATATTTCATATAACTTAAGACTTAAACTGCAGACCGGATTAGTGTTTTAGGCTAAGTTTAAACCTTGCAGCACCTGTGCAGTGCTCCAAAAGTAGCTTACTTTGGTTAGACTCTCAACTAGAACTAGAACACAAACCTATCAAATAAGTACCGTGGAAATAGATGTTTCAATATGTTTTGGTGTTAGTATATGTGTGTTGTGTGTGCGAGTGTGAGTGTGCCTAACAACTTGGCTAACTGACTACGATAACTAAACCAAATTAACAAAATGTATAAAGTATTTTTAGGTTTGCTCAATCGCGTTGAGTCCCAAAAGGAAGGCGCTTGCGGCCTTCACTCTCTCTCTGCACCATCATCATCATTATCATCAACTGGCAGAGATGGTTCGAGTATATATATGTACATATGCATATACATACAGACATCTAGAATGTATCTGGATGGGATTCACTTGGCCAATTTGCCAAACTTACCGTATTCGCGAGGTATCGGCGTACGGAGCGGCGGCATGCGCGCACCTGGCAGGCGCATTGGCGTCAAGGACATCATGCTGGGATGTGTAGGCGACAGATTTCTGTATGGAGACAATGTTTCAAATCTTTACAAGGATTACCCCAAATGCAACAAAATGGGATTGAGTATAAATTTTGGATTTGTTTTGGTTTGGAGTGGATCATTATCGTGTGTGTGTGCATGTATTCGCGCAGGGCAAAGAAAGAATAAAAGAAAGAAAATAGAAAGTAATATATAAATTAATTGCAACTCAGGATAAGCTAGTGGCAGGCGACTTGAAAAGCAAACAGACACTCAGATTATTTGGGATTGATCGAAATTCATTTATGCCCAATGGAATGCAAACATTTTTGCATTGTTTCTTTTTCTTTTTGCGATTTTGGAATTTTGCGCCAGTGTGTGATTTGTACATTGTTGTTGTGCTCGACAAGGATTGGAGTGGAATGGAGCTGTAGCTGGAGCTGTAGCTGGAGCTGGAAGTACATACCCCACAAGGCCGGGGCGGGCCTGCATCATTTGCATCATGCGACGTTCACGTGCGCGCAGAATTTCCTCCTTTTTCTTTTTGTCTGAAGGCGGTTTGGCGAGTGAGACCTAAAGAGTTGTGGGGAGTGAGAAAGAGGTTTGAGATTTGGGGTAATTGTTGCACCTACCTCAATATTCGAGGCGCCGATCTCCTTGCCATTAAGGCCACGCATAGCTTCGACGGCGCTATCACGATCCTCAAAGTGTATAAAGGCATAGTCTTTAATTTTCTTAACGCGTTCTACTTTGCCATATTGCTCAAATTGTTCCTATGGATTGAATCGATGTAGAATTTATTTTCCTAACGCTTTTCAGATTGCAGAACTCACCTTTAATTTTTCCTCTGTGACATCTTGGGTTAGATTTCGTACATACAGAACTTTAACCTTAGACATAGTTTGCTCGTCTGGCTCTTCCTGTGGATCGGCCCAGTCGACTATTATATCACATCCCCATACCTGCGAGAGAAAAAGGTTTCGTTAGATATCTCTTATATTGAGCATGTTGGGGGGAATTACTCACCTTAATTCTACCAGTGCCAAGTCTTCGTTTGGCCAAAGACGCCGCCTTGTGGGACTCGTATTCGAGAAAGCAGAAGCCGCGATTCTTTTTCTTATCATCTGGTGAACTGTATATGATTACCTCGTAAAGGCCAGCTATAGGTTCAGATTCGGGTTCAGATTTATTTATAAATATACGAAAAAAATGTCATTTAGGTACGAGGAATAGAAATTCACGTTATCAATTCGAATGCAATTTATTTGTATGATTAGTTGGTTGCATATGTAAAAAATAGAAATACAACGAAAGAAATACAACAAAAAAGTATTTGTGTCTGGTATTGGTATTGGTATTGGCAAGTGTGTGCGTATCAAAGTGTATGTGTAAGAGAGAGAGAGAGAGAGACAGAGTATATATGATAAGACACATAAATACATACACACATACATACTTATGTATAAGGTATACACATACATACATGGAATATGCGAACAGAAATGCACAAAATCTTACACGAAAAGCAGAGTTTATCATTTGTTATGTAAAATAATGAATCTTTCCGATATCCGCATTTGTTTTTGCACAAAATATATTTATATTTACATATGTTTATGTATGTATTTATGTATATTGTAATTTGATTTTGAAAACCAATGCCAACAATTGCTTTAGTTTGCTTTTGCTTAAAACTTTTTGAAATATTTTTGAAGCTAGTAACATTTTCGGTATTTTGTGTGGGTAGTAGTTGGCGGGGTGGGGTATGCAAGGATCGAGATTTTGGAGACAAACTTTTACTGAGAGACAGAGAGAGAGAGAGTAACGGATAGGAGGATATGTTGAGTACGTTTAGAGAGAGAGAGAGAGAGAGAGAGTATTTTAAAACGAAACACACACTTAGAAAAACACTTAAAAAAACCTCTGGTATTGCTATTTGGTTGTTGTTTTGATTGTATATTATGTATATAGTACATGTGGCAGTAAAACGAACAAAAGTAACCAACAAAACAAAGGAATACGACAACGAACAATCGATGTAGAACCAAAAACACAACACGAAGTACGAGTACGAGTAGAGCACACATTGAGCTGGGGGGCTGGGCTGGGGGTAAATTCTTTTCGATTCGAGTAGTATTAATGGAAACAATAACAATAACACAAACATAGCCAGAGTTAGACAGTGTAAGGAAGAGAGAGAGAGAGATAGAGATATATATATATAGAGAGAGAGAGAGAGAGTGTACACTGAGATACAAAAAGAGTTCGATAGACAGAGAGAGAGAGAGAGAACAGTAACGAACGAAACAACAAAAAATGGGCAGAGAAATTTCGAATTTTGGTTCTTTCGAGTTGTTTTCATATATCGATTCGATTTTATTTTGGTTCAGTTCAATTGCTCTGGGTATATAGTGGCGCTTATGTGAGAGATAGAGATAGCTACACATAGAGATAGAGTAAAATGAGTTTTCTTTTTAAAGGCTTGTTGTTGTCTCCAGTCATTAAGTAGTATTATATAATATATATATATTCAACGTGAATAGGCCAGAACATATCGATTTGAGTAGACGAATTGTGTGTTTTGGTTTCAGGGTGGGGGATCGTTTGATTCGGTTTTTGGTTTCAGTTTGTTTGGTGTGCACCGTGTTTGTTATCTATATATTGTATATGATAAATAATCGTATGTATTGTATGTATAAGTCTGCACTAAAACAAAAACTAAGTTTGTCCCTTTTTCGTTTTTCAAAAATATTCAAAATGTTTTCCAGCTTTTTTTGTTTGGTTTTTGTTTGTTTTTTTGGCGAATTGTTTAGCTACAGGTTTTCAACGTCAACAAATTGGGCACATTTAAAAATTGGGAAAAAATGAAGCTAAAAATAATAAGACAATTAATTGTTTGTTGTATTTACTAACAGCGCTTAAAGTTAGAGAGAATGAGTGAGAGAGAATAGAGAATGACAGAAGAAATATGTTTAAATCAATTGACCCAAAGGCAGGGCTTCACATTCCTTTTTAATCAATGGAAGGAAGCCCGGCCTTATTCCTGGTCTCTCCGGTTAGGATGCTGTTCGATTTATTTGGTGGGATACTTTGGAGTGTATAATAATTTTGTTATCAATTTGAGTTGTTAAAGCGTTTTAAAAGCGAAAATTGCAAAACAAAAATCCAATTGATATTTGGCATCATAAACAGGCTTCCATGCTCTTTTCACATTCTGCAAGTATCGCCCCTAAAAACATTGATTAGATTATTTATATATTGTATATATGAACAAATATTCATTTCGGCCAATTACGGGAGCCAATTGGGGGATGTGCTGGACTGGTCTAGGGTCTAGGGTCTGGTGGGGGCTAGAGGGTCTAGGTATTATTATTATATTATGATATATTTTGTTTTTTTTTTTGTTGGGTCTTTTGCTTTGTTTTTGTGGTTGGTTGTTGTTGCTGTTTGGTTTTTGGATCACTTACGTGCATGTTTAGAAAATTCCTCAATTAATTCGTCGCGATCTCTATTCTTAGGTATATTGCCGACAAATAGCCGGTGATTGTTAAATGATATCGTAACACCAATCTTTTTGCCTTTCCGAATTTCAAAATCATTTAGCTGCAATTGTTTAAAAGTTCACACAAAACAAAAGAAAATTTTGATTTGCTATGAAAAATTTGTATTCCATTGGTACTGCGATTTGATTTTGGATTGTTTTGGNTTTTGGTTTTTTTGTGGGTTTTTTTTGGGTGTGTTTGTTTGGGGTGTGTGTGGTGGGTGGTGTTGTTTTGTGGGGGGGGGGGGGGGGGGGGGAGTATGGGTGATGGTATAGGTATAGTAACTTATTCTCATATGTGGGAGAAAGTGTGAAACTCTAGAATCTAGACTTTAGTAGGTTTTCTTTTTATACTTTGTATGCGTGCCAAATAAAAATGGAATTTACTCAAAAAAGGGTTGAGATTCTTTAGCTATTTGGTTGGACTGTTTCAGCTAGTAGTTGTTTCCAGTTGATGTTGATGTTGATGTTGATTAACTGTTGTCACTACTGGTCTAGTACTTACTATGCAGAATGATAAGTACGAAAGGAAGATAAACAAAAAACACAAAAACAAAAGGGCATTTTCTGCAGGCATGTTCTATATACATGTTGTATATACAGCCAGAAAGTCACTCCTTACCGACCAGATCTTACCTTTTTTGCTTTTGCTAATTTCGTTTCAAATCGAATGACTTTCTAGCTCGAACACTCAACTCTGCGTATACGTATTATTTGATAGTAGTAGTAGTAGCAGTAGTAGTAGTACTTAGTAGCCTGCTTTCTTACAATGTGGAATAGTAGTAGTTATAGAACATAATGGAAAACGAAAGTTTTTGGAATGCATATTGATTTGGTAAATAATTTAAAAAATTTCTTTCATTTTCAGTTTGGTTTTTGTTTTTGTTTTTGTTTTTTCTTGGTTCATTTTCGTAGGCAAAGTTAATGACTGGAGATATTATGTAAATAAGTTGAAAAGAAATATTCTTGTACGACAATTTAAGCTTATAACGAATGGCAACAACAGAAATGGGCGTGTCATTGTTCTATGTGTGTGTGTGTGGTGTATGGTTGTGCTATGAGGCAACCTAAAAGATAAAACTTAGGAATGCATCCGATGATGATTGTGGCTTTTGGTGAGGTGGTTTCTATCGCTTGACAGGGCGCGCACATTTGAAAAGAGTGTCTCAGGCAGCATGGGTTCAATGGGGTAAGGGGGGATGGAACGAACGCCCTTTCAACATTACATTTTCTCAAATGTGGACATGGCAATGGCGGATGGTTGGGTGGTTTTGTTTGGATGGATGTATGGATGGTTGTTGAAGTGTGGGGGTGAATAGTAAGAATGAGTTGTGAAACAAAAATAAATATAAATTAATCTATACTGAAACTTAATTCAAAAATCCTAACGACCCTTTCCTAACACTAACAGAAGTCCCCTCTCGCTATTGTTCTCCCGCAATTAGCCAATTCATGTATTTTTTTTGCATTAGCCAATTGGATTTTTGTTTTGTAATTTAAAGCCGATTTCGGAGTATGGGGCAGCCATTCCAGCTCCACTCCAATTGATGATAATTTAAAATACATTTTTGTTGTTGTTAATTTTGTTTGACAATTTACCTGTAAGTTTACCAAATTCCTCTAAAATTTCATCTTTGCCCTTTGACTTGGGTATATTGCCTACGAAAAGGCGCAGATTCGGTACGCTTATATTTATTTTCAGACACTTGCCGGGTTTTATTTCGTGATTATCGAGCTAAATGGTGGAAGGGAAGGTAAAACGAGTTTTCTTTTTAATACCAATTCACTGTTAATTCAAATAAATAATAATATTACAAAATCATAACAACTAATTATCAATTTGGAAATAATTCAGTTTAAATTGGGGGTTTTTTTTAGGGGATGGTTAACTAAAAAAAAAAAGAGTTTTAAAAGTTGTTTATTTTTATTGCATTACCAATTTCATATCGAGGCGGGGCCGGGCCGCATAGAATGTTTTTTTTTGTTGTTGTTGGGAAATGTTAAAGGAAAAGGTTTTTTCATTGGTTAGTGATTAAAGTGGTTAAAGAGGTACATGGCACATACGGGATATATCATATTAATGTATATCACGATCTGAATTTCGGGGACATGCTCGTCTAAATAAAACCAGACAGTAATCGATCACGCACGCTGCTTAGATGGCTACAAAAGTTGATAGTTGGCTACATAGCTCGACTTAAGATTAAATAGAATTCAACTAAAAAGAAAATAGTTTATCAAATAATACATAATAGACAGGGGGTTGGGAGTGTGTGGTTTGTGTGTGTGTGTGTGTGTAGAGGGAGGCCAGATTGTTTCTTTTTTCATGTTCTTTGTAGATAGAGAGAACTCTTTTCAAATCTGAAATTTGGTCGATTTCAATGCGCTGAGGGGAAGAGATTCTTTCGGATCAACTAAATAGTACAACTCATATATGTGGGACATGCATTACAAGTTACAGAAAGATCAAGTAGAGAGAGCAGGAGAGTAAGTAAGACAGCAGATAGTGAGACAGATAGCGTTGCCTATGGTTCAAATTTGTATAAATGTTTGTTTTGTATGTAGATTGTAGGCAAGACTAGGCATTGGCAGAAGTACAGAGTAACAGCAGAAAGTAACTGTAAAGTTAGCATACGATAGGTAAAAACTAAATAAAATTGCACAACAATTTTCTCGTCGGATCTAAAAGCGCCGAATCGTTGGGTTTCTTTTCTCTGATTTCCGCAAATGTTGCTCTTTCTTTTTGGTCGAATTTTGTGTTGTTTTTCGTGTTTTTTTTTTTTTTTTTGTGGGCCGCATAGCTGTTCCTACTTGTTTCGATTTCGTAACACGAGAGCAAATATGTGGATACAATACGTTATAGATGTAGTATAGAGTATATATATAGGAGGATATGTAGGTATATATCGGTAATAGTTAACAATACGTATAAAAAACATTAAAGCACTGATTCAGGGTAGTGGTTTTGCTTGGGCTTGGGCTTGGGCTTGGGCTGGGGCTGGGGCTGGTGGGTTTGTGGTGGGGCGATTCAATGGTTGGCATAAATACCTGGCGCACTGCATTGACGGCCGCATCGCGGTTTGTGAATGTGACAAATGCATAACCACGATTTGTGCCTGTCATCGGGTCCATCATAAGGCGGAGGTCCCAGATTGTGCCACAGTTCTCGAAGAGCGGTATGAGCTCATCCTCGTACATGTCCTTGGGTATCTTGCCGCAGAACACCTCACATCCGTTGCCGGGCACGTTGCCCTCCCAGTCTGGTGGCGGTCCGCCGTATTTTCGTTGACCTTAAGATTATGTTTAGATCCCGATAAGTAAACCCAGACCAAGGGCAAATAGTCAGTCATGAGACCCACCTGTCGTCACATCTAATGTGTAGCCGGTGCGCTCGAGGATCTTCTTGATCTTGTCCTCGTCGGGACCTTTCACCTGTACGGCAGTGGCGGGCGCGGGCACGCCCTGTTGGCTAGCCCGACTCTTTTGGCGGTATGTCTTCATCACGCCACACAGGTAGGCGGACTTATTTGACACATGCTCCAGGTTCGATTCGAGGAACTGACCCAGAACATTCAAGGCACCATCAACGGGAAACTCCTTGAGCGCGTCCAGGGCGCGCTCATCCAGCTCGGCGTGAGCAAGTTTTCCGGTTTTGTAAATTTCATCCAGTTTGCCAGCGACCTACGCAAACACACAACATGCAATTATGGTTTACAGTAGAGTAGAAATCATGATGGGTAACTTACCTTCTTGTCCAGACCGTATTCCAACAGCTTGGGATAGTCCTCTGTACGTTCGCCATCGCCACGGTCATCGGCTTTCTGATTAATGTCATCTAACAGCTCGCCATTGCCCTCCGCCATTTCTGCAAGAAAATAAATAGAAAGGGTAACAAAATTAGTAAAAGCTCATAAAACACATTACAAAAGATATGTAAATAGTCTTCAAATTATATTTCCAAGTGTGTCATCTTATTTTTCTTATTTCACTTCGTGTAACTCTTTTTCTCTGAGTGCAGAGTGAAGAAGCACTTATTGTAGCCCGACCTGCTCCCAAGTTGGCGCACATTTACCACCTTGAAGAGGTGAACGAACGCGACGTGAGACCGTAGAAAAGTGAAATATGTACAGCTACGAATTGTTGTTTCTGTTTTGGAAATGGGTCGCGAGAATTCGCGAACAGAAATTTCGCAGCTTACGCATCGTCGCACGCACACGGCGTGTACAAAGAGACAGAAAAAGACGAAGAGAAACCCGGAATAAGTGAGAGAGAGAGTGAGAAAAAAAAGTGCGTGTGTGGGGCAGCACGTTTGCCAAAAAGTTCGTTGACTCCAAACAAAACGACGCGATCTGGCAGTGGGACGCGACGCACAGAAAAAGTGCGTGAGTGGTAAATAGACAGAGAGAGAGAGAACAGCGTGCGAGAATAGGCCAAATGTAAACAATCGAGAAGCAGAAAGAGAGAGGCGGCGTCGCGAATAGTTCGTGAACGCGGTGCCAACCATAGATTTGACACGAGATAGCGATAAACGTGACGTAGTAGTAGCAGCAGCCGCCAGTCGCCATGGCAACCCGAATTAACATTTACATTCTCTTGGGGTGGGTGGGGTATAAATCTGTGTTAGTGTGTCTAAACTGGTTAAACTCTTGGCAGCGGTGCTTCTGGTTTTTGGATTGGATTGAGGTTCAATTAAATTTAGACATTTTTCACTCTGCTTATCTGCAAACACCTCAGGCACAAACCTGTCAGCAACGATACCCTTACAGCAGGTAATAGGCTTCGGCCCACACGCTTGCAAAGCTGTTTTGCCAACCGATAAATCACTATCAAGTTATTAACATTAACTATGTATGATAAAAACCATAAAATCAATTCACAATATCTCACAAGCCACTTGATTATATTTAAGTAATTCGGAACTTATTCACATCTGCAGCTGCCATTTAAACGAAGAGTAGCAAGTCGTCGGTTCCAAAATATTTATGTGCGTTCACACATATATATGTAGCATTTGCTTGTTTCTACATTCGCAATGTGCTTCGCTACTTACAAATGAGTGGAAACATAAGGAAAACTGCTTTGGGGACTGACTGCATGCAGCTGCCTTGGGTAATTTATTATAAATGAATATTTATGATGCGCAGCGGACTCGGGACTTTCGGTTCGGTCTCATAATGAAAATGCATATTTTTCGCAGTTGTCAAGTGCCAAAAGACAGGGACGCGCGCGGGGGGGAAATCTATCAAAGCAGGCGAAAATATTATCAGCAGAACACTCAAACCCACACATGCATGCATATGTATTAATAGACACGTGTGCGTGACGTTTCTCAAACAAAAAACGAAGCAAAAGCTGCAGCGAAAACCAACAACCACAAAACGAAACGAAACGAAAGAAATGCGAATCTATGACCGAGAGCGATAATTGCGTAACTTTGAGCAAGAACAAAAAACCAGCAAACAGTGAGAGAGAGAGAGCGGCCAAGAAATAGCAAGAGCGAGAGAGAGGGAGAGCTAGCTAGCTGGCGTGCGAGAGAGAGAGTGCGCGGTTGATCAGAAATTATGAGGCAAAGTAAATCGCGCATTTTTTGTGCTCGTATTTTTTGTTTGTTGCTGCCTGCCTGCGCGACGGGCCGCTCCCCTCGCTCTTTTTTTGCCTTTCGCTAATTTTTCTATTCCCTCTATTCCGTTCTTTCTCCGCTGACATTGAAATACTTTTTTTTCCAATTGATACGAATCTGCTTTGTGTGCAGAAGTGTTCGTGTGTGTGTATGAGTTACTCACTGACGAAACGAAGTCGGGACGGAGCTCCTACAACACGTTTCTCAGGAGTGCCCGCTGATGGGCTCCGGGCGTGGGAGGCGGTGGCGGCCCTCATCTTGATATGAGCGGCAACCAATGCAAAAGTTAACCAACAATTTTAAATTTCCTTTTTTTTCGGTGGTGACTTGAAATTTCGCTTTCAATCAATTTGGTAAATTAATTTCTTTAATTTGGCACAAAAACTTTGTTGGGAACACAATTCTATGAAAATATTTTTTTTTACCGAAACGTTTCGTAGGACGGATTTAATTTTCACAACTGAACAGAAACAGGAATACAACTTTCTGAGCCCGACCTGAGCAATGCCGAATCATTCCAGGTGACGTTTGACAGTTAAGGCAGAGGCTGGGCTGCCAACTCGATTTGAAATCAGGATGCGATAATCCCAGGCGATATATGTATGACTTAGTAAAAGGGGTGGAAACCCCAAAATAACAATTTTCAGTTATTGAATTTTGAATAAAAATTAGGTACACACATAAATGTTGTAATGAATTTTAGGGAAAGGTCGAAAGACCTTTATTTATGACAACTGCAGTGCCCACTGGCGGAGGGGGTGGTGGAAGTGCATCAGAATGCAATGGAAGCTATATAACAATAACCGGAACCAGTCGACCGGTTAAAGCAATAACAAACAGCTATCGCTGTGCATAACCCATTCTCAGGGGTCTTCTGCCCCAAGCCTCCTTCTTCCCTTGCCAAACTATGTATGAGCGTGAAACTCTGTGTGTGCCGTAAGTGGAAAGTGTTGGCGACAACCGCAGGCGTGGGCTGAGGGCTCATCCTGTCTGCCTGCCTGCCAGCCGGCCTGCATTGCGCGCCTCTCAGCAGGCGGTGTGCAGTGAAAATGTGCAGGAAAAGCGTTTTTATCGAGCCACTGCCAAGGAAATGAATAATAATCACGGGCAGTGTGTTGTGGGGTATAGTTGTGGGGCGGATACTGTCATGCAAAGCCCGAATATGTGAAATTCCATTAGTGGAGTGGAGGAGGCCCTAGAACATTTCGATATTTGCAGAATTGCTTCACGTACGTGGAGTTCCCTTGGTGATGTGTCGTTTGACCCGGGAGTCCGGGAGGAGGTTTCTAACCCTCAAACGATACAGCCATGGGAGGAGGCCAGAATATGTCGAATGTAAAATTCCATTTGAACACATATCGATTCGCAGGGTTTCCCTGGCTACAGGAGAATGACAGACCAATATCATTATAAATTCCGAAAAAGAATATTGAAGACTTCCTTCTATTCATTCCCAGAGCATTCCCATAGAAGCTATTCAGGTGAGTGGCTCTCGACGGACCTGACCTGGACCCATGCTGGTCGCTGGTCTGTCCTAAAACCGCTTTCAATTTGCAACACTTTTTGTTGTTGTTTGTTTGTTTTTTTTTGTGTTTACTCTGCGCCTCTGCTCTGCTCTGTCGTCATTTTTTATGCATGTTTGTTGTGGCAACAGGGTTGCCGCTGCCACTGTTTACTAGACTGT